AAATTCAATTCTTTTTTTTTTTTTTTTTAGGGCGGTGGGGATTCGAATCCCCATTACTAGGATGAAGGTGTGGGCAGCTCGCCAACTGAGTGTAGACACAATTTCAATTCATTGTTGACCTTGTCCCTAAGTATAAATTTCTGTATTTTCCCTGAAGAATTGAATGGTAAATCACCAAAGATTACTGCCTTAGGAACCATGTAATCCTGCAACCAATCTTCACAAAACTTGATAATTTCTTCATCAGTCACAAAACACCCTTTTTTCAGCTTCACAAAAGCACAAGGGGTCTCTCCAAGAACATCATCACATCTTGCTACAACTGCAACTTCCAAAACCATAGGATGCCTAATCAAAACACCTTCAATTTCAAGTGTGCTTATAGTTTTCCCCTCAGTTTTGACTATGTCAACAGCGCGATCCTTTAATTTTATATTCCCATTTGCATATTTAATACCAAGATCTTTAGTCCTATACCACCCTCCCTCAAAAGCTTCTTCAGTTCTTGATGAATCTTTCAAGTACCCCATCATCATAGCATTGCCTCTAAACATGATTTCCCCTATAGTTTTTCCATCTGCTGGCACACTTTCCATACTCTTTGGATCTTTTACATCAACTTCTTCCATCATAATGTTGTGAACCCCTTCACGAATTTTCACATCCACGTCTTCATTTAACTTGGATAAATATTCATCTTGACACTTCCAAGGCATCGATATCATTGGACCAAGTGCTTCACTCATACCATATGCATGATTGATAGTAAATCCTAATTTTTCGAGTTTGATCAGAATCTCTTGTGGTGGCAATATCCCTGCTACTGTTACATTCACTTTGTGAGGTAACAGGGGCTGATTTTTGCCAATAGCATTAGCAATTTTTGTAAGAATCATTGGTGCACCACAAAAATGTGTCACATTGTGAAGGTAAATTGCATCCAAAATCTCTTTTCCATTGATTTCACTTAGACAAATATTAGTGCCACCCAAAGCAGCAACTGTCCAGGGGAGACACCATCCATTACATCGAAACATATCCACTGTCCAGAGAAAAACAGGGCTTTTTCCCATTTCGAATCGAAAAATGTCAGCAATTGTATTCAAATAAGCAGCTCTATGGCTATACACAGCTCCTTTAGGCTTCCCTGTTGATCCAGAAGTAAAATTGATCGAAATCGGATCAAATTCATTTTTCGGATACATAATCTTGAAATTAGGCTGCCCCATTTCAAGAAATGTTTGGTAATCCAGAATCTTTGATGGCCCTGATGATGAAACTGGTGGTTTTTTTACACTGTTACTGTCATGGATTAAGACAATTAGACAAGACTTGTCTTTTTCTTGAAGAATGGTAAGTGCTTGAAGCACTAGTCCAATGAAATCAGAGTATACAAAAATGATTTTGGCCTCTAATTGTTGGAGTTTTTGTGCTAATGTGGTGGCATCTAGCATTGTGTTAAGTGCAGAAAGGACTGCACCAGCCATTGGTACACCAAAATGTAGCTCATATTGTGCTGGTACATTAGGTGCCACTGTTGCCACCTGTTTGTATTAGGATTAATAAGTTTATAAATTAAGCTTGTTATAATTGGTTAACTATGACAAAATAAGCTACAAATAAAAGCGAAGAGAAAAAAGAAAAAAGGTTTGAACTCAGACTTATAGTTAGAATTTAAAGTTTATAGGTTCAAGATGTCGTTGAAAATCCACTGATCATTTGAGTTAGTAGGTTGAAATGCTTCATTGATTCTTTCTTACCAGTTCAATATTTCCCTATTTCAAAATAAGAGAATTATACGAGTATCTTACACTCTTTAACAAAAAAATATTAACACATTAATTAGACATTACTTTTCATTTTTAGCCTTTGTAATTATTGTTAAAATACTCTTTATAATGATTAAATATTGATTATGATACCTACTCCCAGTACTTCAGAGCAGTGAGAGTTTCTTGAACTCAGTATCACATAGGAAATCCAAATGAAGGGTAAAAATGGAAGAAAAATCTAAAATTATTCTTGAACAAACAAATTAATTTGAACTATGAAAAATGTCTCAACAATTCACTAGATAAAATAATAGAGAACGTAGGAGTAATATCAATTCGAATTTAGTATTAGCTAGATTTTTTAATTAACACATATGGGGTGAGCCAAAACTATTAGGTTATCCGTAACTTTAGTTGTGCGCCCATCCCCAACGTTAAATTAGAGACATAAAAAAACTAATTATTTATATTCGGTGTTTATATCTATTAGTTTGGAGGTGATATTAACTTTTGATGATTTAACAAACTTAAGGATCTAACAAGGAACCAGATCCTTGTTATTGGGACTGCTGACAGAGAAATGAATGAATAAACTCAGTGTGAAGAATATTTGTGTGTAATCATCAAAAAGGGGGAAGATGTTATATTATAGGTGTTTTGATGATCCTCACAAATGCAGGGACCTGGTCCCTAGCAGAGTGCTCTTGTCCGATACAAATGGGGTACATATGTAAAGCTGTTGTGACAGAGGTTGGTGAGGCGTCAGCGTACTACACCAATCAGAATGGACGAGGGTGTTTGTCCAATGGGTAATAACTCTTTATGGTTGATATTTTCTACGTGACAAACACTATATTATATTCATTCATCCAAATAAGGAAGTTAGCCAGTAAGCCTTTTCAAGAACTCACAAAGAAGTTTGCAAGGGACCTGGTCCCTGCAAGACTGCAATATGAAAAGGTGACAAGACAGTTCGTCAGAAAAAGTTGCTGGTAGGTGCACAACTTTTCACACCAGCAAGCTCTCAGCCAATAAGACTGTTTCAATGAGTTTGTGTTCAGTTTAATATAATCTCTCAACACAAAACACAAACTCAAGATTTTGGCAAACAAAAACTCAAAAGCTTAAAAGGAAAAGCCAATCTTCAAGGAAGAACAATACTCATACTCAACAAAAGGATCTGATAAAGTGCTGAAGCATCTTTGTTGAGTTTGAGTTTTGTGTCTATCATTTTTATAGGTTTTTCGCATCTTGAAATTCTCAAGTATACAAGCAAAGACCATCTTGGTGAAGTATTCTCCGGCAAGCACAACAAGGACCTAATCAATAACTTCTTCTCACGTTGGTTGTAACTGTGGTTCACTTTTGCTTAAAGAAGATTAGTGAAACAGTTGAAAATCCTGTGAGACAGGTCGTGGTTTTACTCCCGTGAGCAAGGAGTTTTGTAACATCCGGAAATTTGAAATAACTATGAAGAGGCTTAGAATTGAAAATAGTCATTTTGGAAAGAATTAAAAATCTGAAAAATTTGGTTAAGTATGGGAAAAAGTTGAGTTTTTGGCCAACTTTGAACAGTCATAACTCCTAGATCAGGATGAGTTAGGTGTAGTTCCAGTTATGTTTGCAAAGTTCGTGGAATTTTCTTTCCAACGCCGCCGAGTTCATTCGATTCCGAGTTCGTATGAGTGAGTTATCCCCTTTGGAAGTTGGGACAGTTGGCAGGGAAGTCCGTCCGAAAATTTGTAAGGGTATTTTGGTCTTTTCCCTAAATCAATTCTTTTGGTTATATTAGTGTGTTAGACTGATTTTTGATCAGTTCTTCCCTATTTTTAAAGAGTGAGAGTGAGGGTTTGAGAGTGAAGAGGAGAAGAAGAGGAGAAGAAGAGGAGAAAAGAGAAGATTAAGCAAGGTTTCGTCAAAGATCGTCGTGGATATCGTCGGGGGGTGATCCCTACTAGGTATGTGAGATCATAGTGTTGGGTTGGTTCTTTCCCCCACACGCCAAACTCGTTTTAAATTCCGAGAAAAGATTGATTATGTTTGTTGAAGTTGTCGGTTGTAGTTGTTGGTTGTGATTGTTGTTGAAGTTCTTGTTGGTTTGGTACATGTTTCCAGTTGTGTTTTGAGTTGAATCTATTGTATGTTGAGGGGTTTTATGATATTAATTGTTTGTGGCTGGAACCATTAAAGTTAAGGAGGTTTAGAGTTGGAAAAATGAAGGACAAAAGTCAAATTTTCGGGGAAAAGGGCTGGGGCGTCGCGCTAGCCAGCGCGCCCTAGAAGGGACTCTGAGGTCCAGCCCTTGGGGCGGTGCCCCTAGCAGAGCCCCAACCAGGCCTTCTGAGCTTTGTGGTCTGGCGCCCCACGCCTCTCAGAGCGCCAAGGACGCCAACCTTTCCCATTCCTTCCCCACTTTTTCATATATGTTCCTTGGTAATGTACCTATGTTTTGTAGTTGTTTTCAACACTCTAAGGTACATTTAAACCTCCCGAACTCATCCATTAACATGAGATCATTACCCTCAAATTCGTACTCGAATTCGAGGAAAGTTAGGATCAAGTCAAGTGAAGTTAGAGTCAAGTCAAGCAAAGTTAAGAAGTAAATCCAAGCAAGTCTTTAAAGTTGTTCAAGAGTCTTTATTGAATATTTTAACTTCATTTTAAGGCTCAAGTTTTAAGTCAAGCAAGAGTATAGAGTTTCAAGTTAAGTAAAGAGTAAAGAGTTTCAAATTAAGTCAAGAGTATAAAGTTGAGTTCATTTCTCAAAAGTTATTAGGGAACTAAGTATTCCCAAAGAAGTTTTAAAAATATGTTTTCACATTTAAACAAGATTGGAAACTGAGATTTCCAAAGAGCCTTCGGGATAGTTTTCCAGAAAAAGAGTTATCGCTTTCTAAATGAAGCAAGAAAGGAAACTGAGATTTCCAAGATAGCCTTTCAGCTAAGTTTTGAGTAATTATCTCAAATCAGCAAGAAGAAGTATGTTTTTTAAACATAAGAGCCAGTATATTTTGGGAGTAGTATCGAGCACCGAGTTGGTGGAGCGTTCAAGGAACCCACAGCCCCCATAGAACCATGTTAGCCACCATGGGTAGAAAATGATCATACTTTTTAGATGAATCCTTTTCCAGATAGACAAGTGGATCCATTAGGCAGTTCAGGACTTATACCTTTGGCTGGGTATAGGATGCTCTGGCAGCGTAAGGTCGATCGATGTATTATCACTATAGCTCTATGTGATGGTTGTCGGTTAGAGAAACTCCCACAACAGTTATTTTATTTTCATACACAGAAATTATTGTATTTTTATATACATCAGTTCATTTGTATTTCTATATATATCTCAGACTTATTGTATTTTTGTATACACACAGAGTTTATAGCAGGTTTTAAACAGTCTTTCTTTATATCACACTTGTTTTAAATTGCCTTATATTGAAAGAAGTCAGTCAGGTTGAGTTGAGTTGAGCCAGGTAAGCTTTTCAGTTTCTTCCAGACTTTCTTTTAGCCTATGCTGCTTAGTTTTCCAGCTCGCATACTCGTACATTCAAAGTACTGATGTCAGTTGGCCTGCATCTTATTATGATGAAGACACAGGTACCCAGGATCAGCATCCAGCACGCCATTGATCCAACTGAGCGCTCCAGAGTCAGTGGTGAGGCTCTTTGCATTCCGGAGGACTCGGTTATTTTGTTCTCTTAGTTTTGTTTTTATTAGGATGTTGCGGGGTCTGTCTCAACATCCATCTCAGTGTTATAGAGGCTCCATAGACAGTCAGCCAGTTAGTATTGAATTTCTCATCTATGTATATATGTAAATATTCTATTTTGAGACTCGAGTTGCCTTCTTGGCCAGATTTTATCAGTTAAGTTGTTTTATATCATTGCATCGCATGGAGTTATTCTATTGAGTTATGTTTCCGCTGAGTTCAGAAAGCCAGGCCAAGGGTTCACTTGGGGCCAGCAATGGTCTTCAAGTGCCGGCCACGCCCAGGGTGTAGGCTCGGGGCGTGACAAGGTTTCCATGTAAACTGCTTGTGTTGTGTTCTCCTTATCATTTACTCTTCTGTATTGTTCTTGCTGTGTCAAGGGACCTGGTCTGTTGACTAATATTGGACGCACACATTCTATCAATTGGTATCAGAGCCTGGGCTCTCTATCTGGTTAACAACAAGAGAGAAGTTCATGCGAGGAATGGCGTCACCATAGAATCAGCAAAAAAGTCAGTCCTCCACAAGACCTCCTCTTCTTGATGGTCAGTTCTATAGATATTGGAAGATTCAGATGAGAGACTATCTCATGGCTGAGGACAAAAAAGCATGGGACATCATAGGTAAAGGTCCTTATGTGCCAACTATGGAGGTTAAAGATGAAGAGGTCACAAGAGTCATTCCCAAAACTCGATAACAATATAATGACTCTAACAGACCATTAGTCCAGAAAAATCACAAAGCAAAGAAGCTAATGATGTGTGGCCTTAGTGTAAATGAATACGATCTGATCTCATCTTGTGAATCAGCCAAGGAAATCTGGGATCTGTTGAGAACAACTTATGAGAATACTGAGAAAACAAAGAATTCTAAGTTAGATCTCTTTACTACTCAGTATGAGAGCTTCACCATAAAAGAAGGTGAATCTATTCATGAAATACATACCAGATTCTCTACTATCATCAATGAGCTCATGCTTCTTGATGAACCTGTTATGGTGTGCAAAACAAGTCTCTAAGATACTGGAAATTCTTCCCAGATCTTAGACAAATGAATTTGTGTT